ACCTCCTTCTCTCTAGTTCCCTGGTTTCCTTCTCCCATGCCCGCCTCCAGGACTTCTCCAGGGTGTTACCCATCCTTTGGAACTCCCTGCCCCAACCCATCAGATTATCACCTACTCTCCTCTCCTTTAGGCGCACCCTGAAAACCCATCTCTTCAGGGAAGCCTACCCCACCCCCTGTTAACTTGCCGACCTCCTCCACTCTTCCTACCACTCCATCCCCCACAGCTATCTCCTCCTGTACCACTATCCCCTCCCTCCTAGATTGTAAGCTCGAAAGAGCAGGGCCCTCGATCCCCTCATGTTTTGCATTGTATTGGTATTGTTCTGTCACATGTTCTGTCCCCCTTTGTAATGTACAGCGCTGAGCGAACTATCGGCGCTTTATAAATACTGTATAATAATAATAATAATAATATACCACATGAGTGGACTCACATGTGATAAAGGTGACTATATCAAACTCCCTTCCATTAGAATTAGACTGGAATTTGGTAAGACCACTAAACATAGTAACTAAATGGCAAGCTGGGCATTTTTTACATGAATAGAAGCCTTTTCGATCCCAAAGCATACCCAACTATTTGGGTGGATCCAAGATCTTTTTCACCACTTTATCCCCAATAGTGGGGGCCCTCCCATAAATAAACATGGGTTTATCTGGAATAATGGTTTCTAATATTCTGTCCATTTTTAATATATGCCAATGTTTATTAAAAATCTGTTCCACATCTCTATATTGTGCATGAAAATTAGATATGAAACCCCACTGATGTTTGTCATTCAACTCTAATTTAGGTTTATCCCCAAGAAGTTGATCCCTGGGTATACTAAATACTTCATTCACTGTTTTCTGAAGGCACTCCTGATTATACCCTTTATCGATAAACCTATCTGCAATAGTGGCAGATTGAGCTAAAAAATCATTATCTTGACAACAATTCCTCCTAAATCTCATAATTTGACCTTTTGGAATATTTTTAAGCCATAATGGATGATGGCCACTACACCATGGGAGATAGCTATTGCAAACAGTGGGCTTAACTTAAGCTTTAGTTAGAAGGATGTCCTCTTTTTTGAAAATCATCAAATTCAAGAAATGGACAGTCTCTGCGCTATATTTATAATCAAGTTTAATGATATTAGGGTTATTATTCAATCCCTCAAGAAAAATTACTAAATCATCTTCAAAACCTGCCCAAATTATGCACAGATCATCTATGAATCTTTTGTATAACAATATCTGCTTATAGCCATGATTGAAGACAAGCCGGTCTTCCCATTCCCCCATAAATAGATTGGCTATACTGGCAGAATGGAAAGACCGGTTTGTCTTTAATTCTGATAAGCTGATATGGCTTGGGAATCAAAACAGGCTTATAGTTGGGGTATAGTCTCCACTCATGTGTCCCACTATGACGATTCTTGAATAACCCTCCAACACTAGAGATGAGCGAATCGAACTTGGCGAAGTGGAATTCGTTTCGAATATTAGGAAAAATTCGATTCGCACCGAATCCGAATTTTAGCAAACTTCGGATGCACGAATCGAATTTTCCCCGATCAGCCGGCAAAAAGTGTCACTGCAGAGAGCTCCGCTATTTCTGACAGTTCTCTGACAGTTCCTTCACATTTACAGCGGTTGAAACATTGTATCTATTTGTTTCCATTTAGGATACAGATGTTTTTATTCGGAAACAAATAGATACAATGTTTCAACCGCTGTAAATGTGAAGGAACTGTCAGAGAACTGTCAGAAATAGCGGAGCTCTCTGCAGATACACTTTTTGCTGTACTGGAATTCTTCTTCTTTTCATTCTTCTTCTTTTTTCATTCTTCTTCTTCTTCTTCTTTTCATTCTTCTTCTTCTTCTTTTCATTCTTCTTTTCATTCTTCTTCTTCTTCTTTTCTTTCTTCTTCTTCTTCTTTTCATTCTTCTTCTTCTTCTTTTCATTCTTCTTTTCATTCTTCTCATTCTTCTTTTCATTCTTCTTTTCATTCTTCTTCTCATTCTTCTTTTCATTCTTCTTTTTTCATTCTTCTTCTTTTCATTCTTCTTCTTCTTCTTTTCATTCTCCTTCTTCTTTTCATTCTTCTTTTCATTCTTCTTCTTCTTCTTTTTTTCATTCTTCTTCTTCTTCTTTTTTTCTTCTTCTTCTTCTTCTTTCATTCTTCTTCTTCATTCTTTTCATTCTTCTTTTCATTCTTCTCATTCTTCTTTTCATTCTTCTTTTCATTCTTCTTCTCATTCTTCTTTTCATTCTTCTTCTTCTTTTCATTCTTCTTCTTTTCATTCTTCTTCTTCTTCTTTTCATTCTTCTTCTTCTTTTCATTCTTCTTTTCATTCTTCTTCTTCTTCTTTTCATTCTTCTTCTTCTTCTTTTCATTCTTCTTCTTCTTCTTCTTTCATTCATCTTCTTCTTTTCATTCTTCTTTTCATTCTTCTCATTCTTCTTTTCATTCTTCTTTTCATTCTTCTTCTCATTCTTATTTTCATTCTTCTTCTTCTTCTTTTCATTCTTCTTCTTCTCATTCTTCTTTTCATTCTTCTTCTTCTTCTTTTCATTCTTCTTCTTCTTTTTCATTCTTCTTTTCATTCTTCTCATTCTTCTTTTCATTATTCTTTTCATTCTTCTTCTTCTCTTTCTTTCTTTTTCATTCTTCTTCTCATTCTTCTTTTCATTCTTCTTCTTCTTCTTTTCATTCTTCTTCTTTTCATTCTTCTTCTTCTTCTTTTCATTCTTCTTCTTCTTCTTTTTCATTCTTCTTCTTTTCATTCTTCTTTTCATTCTTCTTCTTCTTCTTTTCATTCTTCTTCTTCTTCTTTTCATTCTTCTTTTCATTCTTCTTCTTTTCATTCTTCTTTTCTTCTTTTCTTCTTCTTTTCATTCCTCTTCTCATTCTTCTTTTCATTTCTTCTTCTTTTCTTTTTCATTTCTTCTTCTTTTTCATTCTTCTTTTCATTCTTCTTCTTCTTCTTTTCATTCTTCTTCTTTTTCATTCTTCTTTTCATTCTTCTTCTTCTTCTTTTCTTCTTCTTCTTCTTCTTCTTTTCATTCTTCTTTTCATTCTTCTCATTCTTCTTTTCATTCTTCTTTTTTCATTCTTCTTCTTTCTTCTTTTCATTCTTCTCATTCTTCTTTTCATTCTTCTTTTTTCATTCTTCTTTTTTCATTCTTCTTCTTCTTCTTTTCATTCTTCTTTTCATTCTTCTTCTTTTCATTCTTCTTTTCATCATTCTTCTTCTTCTTCTTTTCATTCTTCTTCTTCTTTTCATTCGTCTTTTCATTCTTCTCATTCTTCTTTTCATTCTTCTTTTCATTCTTCTTCTCAATCTTCTTTTCATTCTTCTTCTTCTTCTTTTCATTCTTTTTCATTCTTCTCATTCTTCTTTTCATTCTTCTTTTCATTCTTCTTCTCATTCTTCTTTTCATTCTTCTTCTTCTTCTTTTCATTCTTCTTCTTCTTCATTCTTCTTTTCATTCCTTCGTTCTGCCCAAATGAGTGAAGTTCGGTCTTCTAAGATCGACGGCATTCATCTGCATGTCTTACTTCTTTTTCAGTATTATTCTTCTTCTTCTTCGTCCCAGCAGACTCCCAAGGGCATTTAAATTAAAGGTACTAGTGTTCTGCACTCATATAAATGCTCTACTGAAGCCTAGAAACCCTTTTAATAAGTTACTTCGCATTAAATTCGGCAGACTCCAAATTCGCATCGAATCAATTTCTCCCGGTAAATTCTGCGAATCAGCCGAATCGAATTTTTGAATAATTCGCTCATCTCTATCCAACACGATCTCTCAAAAATCGATGAAAATGCAAAAAAAAACATTTCAAAAGTATAAAATAAGCCTTGGTAGCATAAAATAACTCCTTAGGCAGGCTAAGAAGCCATCTGGCACTTTCCAGTAATGTAAAACACAATCACGCAGCATAAGCAGAGATGAATTGGCAGCAGTGGAGAAACAGACTTATTCTCTCCACATTAAAGATGACCGCGGAACGCCGCAACAGCGTGCGTTCCACTCACTGGACGTGACGTCACACGTTAAGGTCGGAACCGGAAATAACTTCAACGCGTTTCACCCCTCCCACAAGGCTTCGTCACGGACCATGATGACACCTTGTGGAAGGGGCAAAACGTATTGACGTTATTTCTGGTTCCAACCTTGACCTTGACCATCACTGTTTTCTTTCTAAGTTGGAGCACTGGACTTTTATTTGGGACTTTTTGGACTTTCATATATGTATTTTTCTAATGTTGTATGATTTTTTTTTTGTGCTGTATTTTACTATGTTAATTTTGATGTTTTTTCTATGACCAGCAGCATTTACTGATTGTGCTTTTTATTATTTCCTTGGTGCAAGTTTTGATAATTATTAATCTCCATGATATGACTCCTTGAGTTCTTTATACTGATTAACCTTTATGTTGCTCCCATCTCAATGGTTAGTTCTATGTTTATTTCTATTGTTAATTTTTTTGATATTTGAATGACTATCTAGTATACTACTGTATTGTATACCGTATTTTTCGCTCCATAAGACGCACCTGACCATAAGACGCACCTAGGTTTTAGAGGAGAAAAACAAGAAAAAAAATATTCTGAACCAATGGACTGCAGACATAGTACAGGAGATGACCAGACTGTGGACATAGTACAGGAGATGACCAGAGACTGTGGACATAGTACAGGAGATGACCAGAGAGACTGCGGACAGTACAGGAGATGACCAGAGACTGCGGACACAGTACAGGGAATGACCAGAGACTGCGAACACGGTACAGGAGATGACCAGAAACTGCGGACAGTACAGGAGATGACCAGAGACTGCAGACATAGTACAGGAGATGACCAGAGACTGCGGACACAGTACAGGAGATGACCACAGACTGCAGACACAGTACAGGGGATGACCATAGACTGCAGACATAGTACAGGAGATGACCAGAGACTGCAGAAATAGTACAGGAGATGACCAGAGACTGCAGACATAGTACAGGAGATGACCAGAGACTGCGGACACGGTACAGGAGATGACCAGAGACTGTGGACACAGTACAGGAGATGAGCAGAGACTGCGGACATAGTACAGCAGATGGCCAGAGACTGTGGACACAGTACAGGAGATGACCAGAGACTGCGGACACAGTACAGGGGATGACCAGAGACTGCGGACAGTACAGGGGATGACCAGAGACTGCAGACAGTACACGGGATGATGACCAGAGACTGAAGACAGTACAGGAGATGACCAGAGACTGCGGACACAGTACAGGAGATGACCAGAGACTGCGGACAGTACAAGAGATGACCAGAGACTGCGTACAGTACAGGGGATGACCAGAGACTGAAGACAGTACAGGGGATGACCAGAGACTGCAGATCTTTGGGGAGGGGGAGGGAGGGGGGGAGCAGGTACCTGAATTTGACAGGTACCCGATCCCACTTCCGCGGAGTTGTCCTCCCTTTAGTGTGGGCACCCGGCTGTGACAACGTGAGAAGCGCTGCGCTTTGTGAATGGCCCGGTGCCTTCTGGGACCTGTCATGTGTCCCAGAAGACGCCAAAACATTCACAAAGCGCAACACTTTTTGCGCATGCGCAGTGGGCACCCGGCTGTCACAGAAGCCGATGCGGGAAGAAGCCAGCGTGGGAAGACTGTACAGCGCTGGAGCGTGGAACAGGTAAGGTCCTGCAGCAGAGAAGAGCTGAGTGGCCGGCCCGGTATTCTGACACGGTGGCGGCGGAAATACCATACTGGCCACTCCATATTCGCTCTATAAGATGCACTGACATTTCCCCCCTTTTTTGGGGGGAAAAAAGTGCGTCTTATGGAGCGAAAAATATGGTAAGTCATTCTACGAGGTTGATTTACAAAGGGAATTTAGACTGTGCACTGTGCAAGTGCAATTGCTCCAGAGCTAGGTAAATGAGGTAAAGCTTCCTGTTCCCAAGAATACCCAATCACATGCAAGGAAAATAAAAAAAAACAGCATTTTTGCTTGCACATTATTGGATGATGGAAGTCAGCAGAGCTTCTGCTCATTTTCTAAGCTCTGGAGCAAACAGCTCTCGCAGAGTGAAACTGCACTTTCCAAAGTGCACAGTCTAATTGCTTTTAGTAAATCAACCCATCTACAAAACTTTAAAAAAGAAACATTGAAAATAAAATGTTTTACATGCGTTAATTACTTTTGTACTAATTGTATTACACTGTGACAGATATCCTGCCAATAATCTTCAGCTGTCACTATGCTTCTCTCTATGTGAGGCTCAGTGGCAATAGAACCATTGGAGGTTTGTATACAAGGAAACCTCATGTGATCAACATGATTAGCTGTCATGGTGATCACATGGTCTGAAAATACATATTTGTTTCTGATTGTTAGTGTAGACTAGGGAGTTGTCAGTGACAACGATAGATAGATAGATAGATAGATAGATAGATAGATAGATAGATAGATATAAAATAGATAGATAGATATTAGATAGATAGATAGATAGATAGATAGATAGATAGATAGATAGATAGATTAGATAGCTAGATAGATTATAGATAGATTAGTTAGATAGATAGATAGATAGATAGATAGATAGATAGATAGATAGATAGATAGATAGATAGATAGATAGATAGATTAGATTAGATAGCTAGATAGATAGATTAGTTAGATAGATAGAATAGATAGATAGATAGATAGATAGATAGATAGATAGATAGATAGATAGATTAGATAGATCAGACAGACAGATTATCTTGGCCTCAGATAGTTCTTGTTTTGGATCTGATGAATGAACAGCTGTCAAGTGGAAACCAGTTCGGTTTGTCACCTTAGCACAATTGTACACCTTCCCAACTGTCCAATCGCCTTTTTAACATCTTTATTTCTTAGGCTGTAGAATAAAGGGTTTAACATTGGTGTAACAATTGTATAGAACACCGACACCATCTTGTCTGTCACTCCAGCATCTGAATACCTTGGTCTCATGTACATGAATATGGATGTTCCATAGAAGATGGTCACCACGATAACATGGGCTATGCATGTGGAGAAGGCTTTGTATCGCCCAGAAGGGAGTTTCATAATAATTAAGAAAATGTGTATATATGAAAAAAGGATGAGGCACAAGGGACTTAGAAGGAACATTAACCCACCAACCAAAGATATGATGTTGTCCACTGAGATATCTCCACAAGATAGCTGAATTAAGGATGGGGCTTCACAAAAGAAGTGGTTGATGGTGATATGTCCACAGAACTTTAAATGGCATATAAAATATATATAAAAAGCAGGCTATGCTGCCACCAGCCATCCAAGAAAAGCCAATCATCCTGGTACAAGAGACTGTATTCATAATAATATTGTAATGTAAGGGATTACAGATAGCTACATATCGATCATAGGCCATAAAAGCTAAAAGTATGCACTCTGTATCCCCTACAAACAAAAAGAAGTAAACTTGAAGAACACAACTAGTATATGAAATAGATTTTAATGACAAAATAATATTTAGTAGTATCTTGGGCACAATGATTAATGTATAACAGATGTCCAAAAAGGACAGATTAATAAGAAACAAATACATAGGATTGTGTAAACGGTTGTCTGTTCTGGCGGCCACTATAAGGAGAATGTTCTCGGCCAGTGTGGTCACGTAGACAAGTGAGAATAATTGGAACAGCCAAGGTTGTATGTTGGGATTGTCTGAAAATCCAAGAAGAATAAATTCTATGACTGTACTTTGGTTCTCAGCTGACATGGTCACACTCTTCTAATAATATTTCCTTTGGCCTACAGCTGAACGCTTTATGGAATTGGGGACAAAATAAAAAAGGTCTATATGAGGGAAAACTTCAGTTTGAAAATAAATCACCAGTAAACTTACAGACTTATCAGGTTGTGTAAATTTTGTGGACACAAAACTCAAACATGTAAGCAGTTATTCTGTATAGTAGCCATAAAGATAAAAAGGGGGACTTATAACCCCCAGGATAAAAAGCAATATCTTTCCAGCACCTAAAAAAAGGGGTGAATGCCAGGAAGAGGCCAGGGAGTTCAATGAGTTGATAGCCTATGGATAAATTCTTGGTGGTGTAGCCCTCCTCAGACTGGGAAATCATCAAAACTGGAAAGGAAGCACACAGGTGGCACAAACACCTAGCGCATTATCCAAGGTTTATTATAAAAGAAAAAAGATGAAAAACATACTTACAAAATGAAGTACATGCAAAAGCCTAAAAGCCACACTGATGGCCGACAATGATGGCAGAGTGTCCAACTGGTGGTACGGTCGGTCTGCTGATGCGTTTCAGGGATGTATCCCCTTCCTTAGAGCTGAAGCCCTCATTGTGGGCCATCATTGTAGTATTTAGGATTTTTCATGCACTTCATTTTGTGAGTATGTTTTTTGTCTTTTTTCTTTTATAATAACCCTTGGATAATGTTCTAGGTGTTTGCGCCACCTGCGTGCTTCCTATAACCCCCAGGAGACCGTATATTACAGATAGCTCATACAAGTACATAAATTAATAAAATCACAAATGTATGGTTGCAAACTTTAAAAAAGTATGGCAAAAAACTCAAACATTTCTTAAAAGAATTCACATAGAAGTTTGAAAATAAGGCTGCTTTACAGATTGTCATTTTGTCAATGTGTTTCTCAGAAACGGGTTCATCAAGACACACATGCCAATCCGCACAGAATTGTACCATGCAATAAGTAACATTGGACATATACGTAGGGAACATACAAAGTTCTCTGTAGGTTGATAATTTTCATTTCCATCAAACAATGTGTTTTCAAAGTGTTCCTTTAATTTTTTTTGAGTGGTGTATCTATACATACACTCACCGGCCAGTTTATTAGCTCCACCTTGCTAGTACCAGGTTGGACCCCCTTTTGCCTTCAGAACTGTCTTAATTCTTCATGGCATAGATTCAACAAGAAAGATTCCTCAGAGATTTTGGTCCATATTGACATGTGTTACTGTAGCCTTTCTATCATCTCAAACCAGTTTGCTCATTCTCCTCTGACCTCTGACATCAACAAGGCATTTTCCTCCACACAACTGCCACTCACTAGATATTTTCTCTTTTTTCAGACCATTTTCTGTAAACCCTAGAGATGGTTGTGTGTGAATATCCCAGTAGATCGGCAGTTTTTGAAATACTCAGACCAGCCTGTATGGCACCAACAACCATGCCATGTTCAAAGTTTCCTCCACATTGTGATGCTCAGTTTGAACTTCAGAAACTTCTCCACCACATCTAGATGCCTACATGCATTGGGTTTCTGCCATGGGATTGGCTGATTAGCAATTTGTGTTACCAAGCAATTGAACAGGTGAACCTAATAAAGTGGCCGGTGAGTATATTATATATATATATATATATATATATATATATATATATATATATATACGAGGGGTGTTGTTCATGTCAAACCGGGACATGTAATTTTACAGGTATAAAAAGGGGTTCTAGCGTGGCGGTACTACATGCAGTAGTAAGTGGAAAGTGTATCCTACTACCGATCAGTGGTGCACATTTCACGTGCCAGTTTACAGACCATTAATCAAGATGGCAGACAACAGTGTTAGTGCGTGCATGGAACAGCGTGTAGTGATGAAGTTTCTTGTGGACAAAGGTGTAAATCCTGCAGGTATCTACAGAAGATTTCAAGCACAGTATGGTGATGAGACGCTCAGTCGCACTAAGACATTTGAATGGTATAAACATTTCAAAGATGGCCGTATGTCCATCAGTGACAATCCCGGACGTGGTGGTTCCTGCCCACAGCAGTCATTCCTGTGAACATTCTGCATGTGGAACGCCTGATCATGGATAATAATAACAGGAGACAAATCTTTCTGTGGGAACACAATGATGATGAAGTCAAATAGGCTGTCCTAGGATGGTTCAGGTGTTCTGACAAACCTTTCTATGCTGACGTTTTCCAGACATTAGTTAACCTCCCTAGCGGTGTGATTATTTCAGATTTTTGGTGCCGAAAGCAGTACCATTATTTTGCATGGAAATATGTAGTTTTTTTATTGTAGGCTGTAATTTTTAGGAATAACTCACTGAAATCTGTCCGAACAAGAGTCTATTAAACATCCCGGTTATGATAAAACTTGAAACACGAAATCATAAATTCTAATTTAATAAATAATCATAAAAAATAATATAATAATAATACATTTAATTCAATAATATAATCAAACCGAAAACACTGAAATTTGAAATATAGCGCCAAGTTCGTACATTGCTGAGCAAAGTCGCAAAATCGTTTTCAGTGTCTGATGACGAATTTCCCCACGAATCATTATCACTCAATTCTGCAAGTGGTTCTGATTTACTATCGCTGTTCTCTAGCTGGTCTAAACCTGCTTTTGACCTAAAGGGACACTTTTTGGACGCCATGGACGTTTCTCAGTTTCCAGGCAGAAAGAACAGACAAAATGTAGGCAGGTCGCAGGACAAAGCACTCGGGACAATATGTATGTGAAATGGGTTTAAACAGCAATGTTTTACTATGAAAAATTTGTTTTGAATAAAATGACATTTTTTAAAATTTTCAAATTTCCCGCCGGCGGCGGCGGCGCCCGTAAGTCCTGACGTCACAGGGACCGGAACACAGAAGCCGGATGCCGGCATCGGCCGGAGGAGATGGCTGGGGACGCTGCAGGGGACACATCGCGGGAGCGAAGGACAAGGTAAGTGCTGCAGGGACTCCCTATGCAGCGCCGCAAGGTAAGCCCGAGTATAGCTCGGGGTTACCACTTTTGCTACTAAAACTCTACCCCGAGCTACACTCGGGAATACCGCCAGGGAGGTTAAACGCTGGGAGTGTATAAATGTAGCAGGGGAGTATATCGAAAAATAAATGCAGTTTCCACTCCTTGAAACTTGTTCTTTTATTAATTAAACTCCTGATCCTGGATAATCAACGCGTAATCTGTCGTGAAATTGCACAAGAGACAAATCTTTCTGTGGGAACGGTGAACAAAATCATGACAAAGTGAAGCAGGCTGTCCTAGCATGGTTCAGGCGTCCTGACAAATCTTTCTGTGCTGAAGCTTTCCTGGCATTAGTTAAATTCTATAAGTGTATAAACATAGCAGGGGAGCATGACAAAAAGTAAATGCAGTTTCCACTCCTTGAAATTTGTTCTTTTATTATATAAACTTAAAAGTTCCGGTTTGACTTGGCCGCCTCATATACAGTATATACGTAAGATATGCATACTGTATATATATATAAAAAAAAAAATTTTTTATTCTTGTGCTGTTGTTACTGAGTTGTCATCTGTAAAAATAAATAGGCAAAAAACAGTTTTGATGTCCTTTATTTTAACATATTATTGTGTAATTTTAAATGCTTTATATAAGTCAAAGCTCTGGACACTGTACACTGTCTTTGAACATAAAAACACTATGGGGTTGATTTACTAAAGGCAAATAGGCTGTGCACTCCAAGTGCACTTGGACGTACACTACAAGTGCACTGAAAGTGCAGTTGCTCTAGATCCGAGGGGAACATGCAAGGAAAATAAAAAAAAAACTACACTTGCAGTGCACACTATATCTACATTCAGAAAATCAACCCCTGTGTGTTTGAAGTGCTTATGGTCAATGAACTTTAAATACGAGATGAGGGAATTTGAAGTTTTATTAAGGAATACATCAAGCTGTGTACCTGAATAATAAGAGGCTGCCGCAGAGTATTCCAAAACAACTTGCGCCAACCTTTTACAAGACAATAGAGACTTCCTGGGTCTTAACATACAATATATGTACATCCAATGAATATTGATAGAGACATTTCAGAGGTTTAAAAATTGTACATAATTATGTCTGTCTGTAGATCCTCTTTTATATCTTTTGTTATATGCAGTATAATGTTTTTTGTCTAATTCCCAAGATGTTGCAAATCATTTGGTTTCTACTCCAAGGATTTTCA